TACCCCTCCTGTTTATTCGTACCTCTTTTAACTTTCTTCTATTTTATCCTTTTATTCTTTTCATCTTATAAGCATCATCTATATTTTTTATCTATATATTTTTAATATATAGTTTCTTATAAGTTTATTTATATTTTTGCTTTATATGAGTTTTCTTTTTTTATTTCTTTTTTTTTCTTTTTTTTACTTGTTAAAATTCATCAAAATAAATTACATTTTTCTTTCTTTTTTTATTCTCTCTCTCTGTCTCTCCCTCTTTCCCTCTTTCTCTTTTTCTCCCTCTTTCTCTCTCTCTTTCTCTCTCTCTCTCTCTCTCTTTTTCTTTTCTTTCTCATCTTATAAGCCCTTAATGATCACGCAACTTTTATCTTGAGTAAAGTATCTACGTGTACATGTTGCTATTTATGTTGTATATGTTCTTATCTTTATTATCTAATACTCCGTTCATTATTAATAATATTCTAATGTATCACGTTTATCTATATTTTTTTTCTTTCCTTAACTTGTTAAAATCCATCGAAATGAATTATGGTTTTTTTTTTTGCTCTTTCCTTTTCCATCTTATAAACTCATAATGACAACGTGACTTCAATCTTAAATAAAGTATTTATATATACAATGTATATTTACATATATACGTATCACATATATATTTATATCGTTTATATATATTCCTATCATTATTATTATCTAATATTCTATTCGTTATTAATAATATTTCAATATATCCTATTTATCTATATCTCCCGGTTTCCTTTTTTTTTTCTACTTGTTAAATTCCATCAAAATATATTATGTTTTTTATTTTTCTCTCTCTCTCTCTCTCTCTTTAGTTTTAACGATTATATGACTTTGATCTTGAATAAAGTATATATGCGAATATTTATGCCATCAACTATCTTTATTATGAGTATTTTTAATTTTATTTACCTGTTAAAATTCATGTAAATAAATTATATTTGTCTCTCTCTTTCTCTTTCTCTCTCTCTCTTTCTTTGTCTTTTTTCCTCTCTCTATCTTTCTTTTTCAACTTTTCTCTTTCTCTCTCTCTCTCTCTCTCTCTCTCTCTCTTTATCTCGCTATCAAATACAAGGATATAGTTAGCAAATAAAAATTCCATGAGATTAGTATCGATTTTAAAGTAAATGTGAATATGCGTCGGATAACCGGAAAATCTCAAGATTAAAATCCAAAAAAAAAGGAAAAAAAAAAGAAAAAGGAAGAAGAAAAAATACTAAAATATAAAAAAATGAGAAATAAGAAATAAACAAGGAAAAAAAAACTAACAAGAAAAAATATCAAGAGCATTAATTTAACGAGCGAATACGATAATGGGACAAAGACCCAAGGTAGGCCTTCAGGGCCTTCTCAGTGGAAAGGTTGGATCATCTCTCTCGTTGGCCAAAAATTTTGGAGTCATGCGATCCGTACATTAACGAATAGTCCGCCAAGAGCTTGATGAGTGCGTTGCGCAATTTCTACGTGTCGGTGAACACGCCGGAGGGTTATTCTTTAGGGATCTCATCGACGCGACTGTGAGGGGCCTTGGCAGGCCCAAAGTGCGAAACGTAGGCGCGTCGGTAAAAGAGAAATTGAGCACGCGATGCTATAATGATCGTTCGCGACCCTACCTTTCAAAATAAGGGAAAAATTGCTCTCTTCATATTGTATTACTTAAAGCGTTTCACGTCTTTACATTTTCTATTTAGTTGAAATTTTTATTGGAAATTGAAGATTGGATCTTTAAGGCACCTGCTATTACATAGATTCCATATTATTTTTCTAAAATGAATTTATATCTCTTATAAGTCATAATAATATAGATAAATTCAATTATTAATTTTCTAATCAGGAATGGTTTTTTCTTTTTTTTAAAATAATACATCTGTCAATAACAAATAATCTATAACATATTTACTAATATACGTTTCATTTTATAATAATTATTATTACTATGCGATTATTATCACTGTGTAATACGATTTGTAATAATATTTCTAATACATAATTATGTAACAATTATTATATATATATATATATATATATATATATATATATATAAAACAAAGCTACATAATTAAATAGCAATCCATGCCATAAACCAATCAAGAAATATACGACGTATGTCATACTTGATTTAAGAAAAAAAAAAAAAAAAAAAAAAAAAAAATTCTTTCCGACACGAATGAAATAAGTTATACATCCACTATAGATGCCATTTGTAATAATAAAAATATTGATGAGATAAATTTGGCAACTCTCACCTTATATACAGACGATGAGTATTCGCGCATTAAGGTTCGATAAAAAGAAAAAAGAAAGAAAAAAAAAAAGAAAAAAAAAGAAAAAAACAAGAAAAGACAGGGGAAAAAAGGAAGTAAAAGAAGAGGAGAAAAAGAAGGAGAAGATGAAAAAGGAGGATGAGTGGAAGAAGAAGAAGAAGAAGAAGAAGAAGAAGGAGGACGTAGGAAGGTCCAGCTCGTTCGCATCGTCGCGATAATGCGTATGCAAATATTTGTTCGGTTCTCGGTCTCCTCTTCCTTCTACTCCTCCTTCTGGATGTTTCTTTCTTTTTTTCTTTTTTCCTTTTTTAATCTTCCTCTTTTTTGTCCTTTTCTTTTTTTGTTTTCTTTTCTTTTCTTTCTTTTTTTCTTTTTTTTTTTTTTTTTCTTTTCTTTATCGAGCGCGCCGCTGCCGTAAACGAGCCGACCTATGCGAGTAGAGGGAGCGCGTGCCATTGGCAGTGAAAAACGTTTATGGTAACGTGCCTTCACCTTTTACGAGCAAAGACATCGATTACTCAATCCCTTCGAAGAGCGAGGACGAACGACGAAGGAAAAAGAGGAACGATCAAATAATCGAGAACGGCGATGGCCTAAGACCTAGGTCATTGCCTGCTGCTTTTTGCTTTATAGAGAAGGGATAATATTTTCAAGTTCAACTTGAATTAAATTTGATATGGATCGTATTTCTTTTTTTTTTGAACGTGCTTAATATTTGTTTTCTTTCTTTTTTATTTTTTTGTTTTTTTTTTTTTAAATATTAATAATGTTTTCTTTTTTTTTTTTTTTCGTAATGTAGTTGATATCATTTTCTTTCTCTTCTCTCTCTCTCTCTCTCTCTCTCTCCTTTTCTTTTTCTTCTTTTTATCTTTCCCTCGTGCATAGAATATAAATACGTATTGTATAATATGTGCGAAACTTCGAGTACATTGCATAGTTATATTAGATTTATTAATTATATTATAATAATATATTTAATGTAATAATTATTCTTATTGGTATAATTATAAAAATTATACATATACTTAAATAATTATATTGTATTAAAATTTTAATAAAGTATTTATACGTATATTATTTATATCCATATATGTATATTATAGTAATTTTACTATATATATATTTTATACATATATATATATATATATATATATATATATATATAATATTACTATACAATATATATACATTTTTGTATTTCTATACTATATTATGTGTATTAATATACTACAATTATAGTAATATAACTATATTAAAATTCACTCTAAGTTTCACACGAGAAAATCATTTTTATACGAAAGAAAAAAAGAAAAGAGGAAAATATTATTATAACTAAAACAATATTTACTGATTTTTAAGGAACAAGACATATTATATACGATTGATTCATATCGATGGAATAATATCAGTTTATTTTAATAAATATTTTACTAATAACGGCATTTACTTAATGAATAGTAAAATACTTCGCAAACATTAACCTTTGTATAAGAACTAACAACTAATTTTCTGACGAAATTATGAATTAAGATAGATATACGAGTGTTTGTACCTCGAAAAATTATAATATAGGATTTACATAAACGGATAAATTAATTCAATACCTTTCATAACTTTATCTATACAAAAGGCACATTAAAATTACATCATATTATTTTTTACGTCAGACTTTACTCTTACTAGAAATTATATATGTATATGTATAAACAGTACATATATATATATATATATATATATATATATATATATATATATATATAGGTAAATGTCAAGAAAGGTAAAATCTTAGAAAGTTCTTTAAATAATCTCTTATATAAATTGTAAAATTAAAAGACTCGTAAGGTATCCTAATTAACAAGAGGATGAGTGCTTGCTTTGAAGTGGGTGGAGGGGGGGGGCGGTGAAGAAGAAGAAGAAGAAGAAGAAGAAGAAGAAGAAGAAGAAAAAAAAGAAAACTAAACAAAACAAAACAAAAGAAAATAAAAAGGAAAGAAAAACGAAAGGAAAGAAAAGGAAACGAATGGAAACGAACCGCAACAGGTTACAAGTATAAAACTCGAAAGTAGGTGATAGAAGGAAGGTTTAGATGTGTTTTAGATTGCTATTCCTCCCAAGTAGTCTAAACTCTAAATGATCAAGTCGAATATGGGAAAGGCGTATATGTATCTCTATGTATATGTATGTGTGTTTGTGTGGTTATGTGTATGTATATATGTATTAAGACATCTTGGTATCGTCTGACGATAAATTTACGTTCGCACGTATTTTTGGCTTCGTCTTTAAACTCTCTATCTCTCTCTTTTTCTCTCTTTCTCTCCTTCCTCTAATCGATGATCTTACGTCACGGATGCAAAGTCACGACCGGTTTCGAAGAAGGTACTCGACTCGAATAAGCCTTCGAATTGGAGAGTTCGATTGAGTGTTTACATTGCTTCACAATCGTGTATACAAAATCTCGAGTCGTTCAAAGGTACAATCGTCGACTTATAAAAAACGATTTTGAATTACCTATCGGAGATCGGGATGGAGTTGGATAGAATGAGATGGGGTGTTAGTGGTGTGGGGTTAATGAACGATGGCAGAATTGAAGTGAAAGAAATGGAAAAGTTAGAAAGAAGAAGGAAGGAGAGAGAGAGAGAGAAAGAGAGAGAAAGAGAGATAAAGAGAAAAAGGATAATAATAAAAAAGAAAAGAGATTAGAAAATTAATTTTACTTAC